TACACTTATTTATCTCATATAACATATAAATAAGTTACACTTATTTATCTCATATAACATATAAATAAGTTACACTTATTTATCTCATATAACATATAAATAAGTTACACTTATTTATGTCATAACTGGAAGTTTATACCTTTTGACCACCCACCACCCGTGTCTGGCAGCCACAAATCTGATCTCTGTTTCTGTGAGTTTGGTTTTCTTAGATTCCACATATAAGTGAGATCATACAGTATTTATCTTTCTCTGTCTGACTTATTTCACTTAGCATAATGCTCTCAAGGTCCCTCCATGTTGTCAAAAGTCGCAGAAATCCTTTCTTTTTTATGGCCGAATAGTATTTCATTATATACATATGTATATATATAATATATATATACATATACATATACATATACACATACACACACACAGTCATGTGTCACTTAATGACAGGGATATATTCTGAAAAATGCATCATTAGGCGATTTCATAGTTGTGTGAACATCATGGAGTGTACTTATACAAACCTAGATGGTATAGCCCACTACACAGCTAGGCTATATGCTACTAATTGGATGGGACCACTGTCGTTATTTGCAGTCCATCGTTGATGGAAACATTATTATGCGGTGCATAATTGTATATACACATATATATGTGTCACATTTTCCTTATCCATTCATCCATCAATGGACACTTAGGTTGTTTCCATGTCTTGGCTATTGTAAATAATCCTTCAGTGAATATGGGGGTGCAGACATCCCTTTGGGATAGTGATTTTGTTTCCTTTGGATATATACCCAGAAATGGGATTGCTGTATCATATAGTAGTTCTGTTTTTAATTTTTTGAGGAACCTCCATACTGTTTTCCATGGTGCTGTATCAATTTACATTCCCACCAACATTGCGTAAGTGTTCCCTCTTCTCCACATCTTCGCCAACACTTGCTCTCCTTTGTCGTTTTGATGATAACCATTCTAACAGGTATGAGGTGATAGCTCATTGTGGTTTTAATTTGCATTTTCCTAATAATTAGTGATGTTGAGCACTTTTTCATGTGCCTGTTGGCCATCTGAATATCTTCCTCAGAAAAATGTCTGTGTGGGTCCTTTGCCCATTTTTAAATTGGATTTTTTTGTTTTAGTTTCTTTTTTGCTACTGAGTTGTATGAGTTCCTTATATATTTTGGATATTAACTTCTTGTCAGACCTGTGTTTTACAAAATTTTCTCCCATTCCATAGATTGCCTTTTCATTTTGTTGATTGTTTCTTTTGCTGTGCAGAAGCTTTTTAGTTTGACGTAGTACCACTTATTTTTTATTTTGTTGCTTGTGCTTTAGATGTCATATCCAAAAAATTATT